TTGTTACACTGTCAGGTCAATGGGGTTGTTACACTGAACACGATTGCTAACCCACTCGACACGGGTTCAAGGCACGTGTTTTTTACGAGTTGTCTTCGTTTACCCAAAAAAAAAGTGAATGCGAAAAGATAAAATCGATAGCAAGATTTTAATGCAAACAAACAGACAAAGACTAAAAAGTAGAAAATAATTATCATTAAAAAAGTTTTAAAAAACCCACGTTTTCTGATTGAACTAAAAAGTAGAAAATAAATGCTATACATCACAATAATGCAAGCGATCACTCTACTATAAGCGATGAAAAACGTGGGGCGCAGTGATTTTCTTACAGTTTTTAATACGGTTGACTCTCTACAAGCTCCCTAATAAAAGTCAATAGTATTATCTAATCAATAGTAATATAACTTTTACATCTTATATTAACAATGACCGATAAAAAACTTTTACTGCAGCTCAAGGTGTGCTTGTATAACCAAGTCATGCAGCTCAAGGTGTGCTTGTATAACCAAGTCATGCAGCTCAATGTGTGCTTGTATAACCAAGTCATGCAGCTCAATGTGTGCTTGTATAACCAAGTCATGCAGCTCAAGGTGTGCTTGTATAACCAAGTCATACAGCTCAAGGTGTGTTGTATAACCAAGTCATGCAGCTCAAGGTGTGTTGTATAACCAAGTCATGCAGCTCCAGGTGTGCTTTTTTAAAGTGTTGTTGCTCTCTGGATTTGCTTTGGACTCTGCGTGCCTGTGGTTTCCATGTATTTTGCCAATGTTGCCCTTTGTGCCCTTTCATTTTGTCAGCGTTGCCCTTTTTATGCCCGTGGTGCCCCTTCGAATCAAGTGCCTATTGATCGAGTCCGGAAGTTAAGTCGTGCCTTATTAACGTTTACAGACTTGGGTCAAGGTCAATCAAAGTCTTCAGTTCCGGACATTCGTGGTCCTCGACCAAAACATGATTTGCTGATGGGCCGCTTTTGTTTCCTGATGGAGGCAAAGTGGTGCTGCTCAGTGGTGATTGCAATAGAACATCCCCTAATTTACCTCCCCTGTCCTATAATATAACGTCCCCTGTCCTATAGTATAACGTCCCCTGTCCTATAATATAACGTCCCCTGTCCTATAGTATAACCCCCCCTGTCCTATAGTATAACGTCCCCTGTCCTATAGTATAATCTCCCCTGTCCTATAGTATAATCTCCCCTGTCCTATAGTATAACGTCCCCTGTCCTATAGTATAACGTCCCCTGTCCTATAGTATAACCCCCCTGTCCTATAGTATAACCTCCCCTGTCCTATAGTATTATCTCCCCTGTCCTATAGTATAACGTCCCCTGTCCTATAGTATAACCTCCCCTGTCCTATAGTATAACGTCCCCTGTCCTATAGTATAACGTCCCCTGTCCTATAGTATAACGTCCCCTGTCCTATAGTATAACGTCCCCTGTCCTATAATATAACGTCCCCTGTCCTATAGTATAACCCCCCCTGTCCTATAGTATAACCTCCCCTGTCCTATAGTATAATCTCCCCTGTCCCATAGTATAATCTCCCCTGTCCTATAGTATAACGTCCCCTGTCCTATAGTATAACGTCCCCTGTCCTATAGTATAGCGTCCCATGTCCTATAGTATAATCTCCCCTGTCCTATAGTATAACGTCCCCTGTCCTACAGTATAACGTCCCCTGTCCTATAGTATAACATCCCCTGTCATATAGTATAACGTCCCATGTCCTATAGTATAATCTCCCCTGTCCTATAGTATAACCCCCCCTGTCCTATAGTATAACGTCCCCTGTCCTATAGTATAACGTCCCCTGTCCTATAGTATAACCTCCCCTGTCCTATAGTATAACCTCCCCTGTCCTATAGTATAACGTCCCCTATCCTATAGTATAACGTCCCCTGTCCTATTGTATAACGTCCCCTGTCCTATTGTATAACGTCCCCTGTCCTATTGTATAACGTCCCCTCTCTTAAACTAAAACTTAACTGTCACGCTTGACATAATGCCGACAGTGACAGCAGATTACTAATCATCGTTTTCTTGTTAATGAGCTTAGTGACTTTATGTCAGTCAAACTACTAGCCTCCCTTTCGTCAATACACACCTAAAATAGAATGGGCTGATGGGGGTGGGGTGAGGGTGCCACAAAGCTTTATTTATACGCTAGGCTCATTAGAGGAGAGGAAATTTCAAGCTTCTAATCACAGCGACAAGACAAGCATCTTATTGAAGGAAGTGGCTTTCTGTGTTCCACTCACGACACGAGCCAATGGCGTTACCCCATCCCTAATGTGGGCACTACTTCCCCTTTTGCCTCATCATTCGCTAACAGTTAACAGTGATATTTTTAGCAATGATATTTTTAGCAATGATATTTTTAGCAATGATATTTTTAGCAATGATATTTTAGCAATGATATTTTAGCAATGATATTTTTAGCAATAATATTTTTAGCAATGATATTTTTAGCAATGATTTTTTTAGAAATGATATTTTTAGAAATGATATTTTAGCAATGATATTTTTAGCAATGATATTTTTAGCAATGATATTTTATTTTTGGCAATGATATTTTTAGCAACGTTATTTTGGTATTTTGGATTTAATTTCTCGCAAACCGACAATCTCATTTTATCTCACAAGTATTAAACATCGACCACAAAGTCACATGATTGCAACGTTAAGAAAATATCCAAGCAAGATTTGAACAAGTCCGCATTGTTCAATGCTTGTATAACGATAAAAAATAAAGCCTCAATAGGCTAACATGGAGCACTCAGGGGCGTAGCAAACTATCGATTTTGTGCGTCCCCCTCCCCCAAACTTTTTTCAAAATATTTAAGACGCTCTTTTATTTTGGTGTCACACAATTGACGCTAGTTACGTCACTAGCAAGTACCACGATAGAAGGTTCAACAATGGCCACGATAGGGGTTTAACAATGGCCACGATAGGTGGTTTAACAGGGACCTTTAGTTGGTTTAACAATGGCCACGATAGGGGGTTTAACAGGGACCTTTAGTTGGTTTAACCATGGCCACGATAGGGGGTTTAACAGGGACCTTTAGTTGGTTTAACAATGCCACGATAGGGGTTTAACAATGGCCACGATAGGGGGTTTAACAGGGACATTTAGTTGGTTTAACAATGGCCACGATAGGGGGTTTAACAGGGACCTTTAGTTGGTTTAACCATGGCCACGATAGGGGGTTTAACAGGGACCTTTAGTTGGTTTAACAATGGCCACGATAGGGGGTTTAACCATGGCCACGATAGGGGTTCAACATGGGACCTTTAGTGGGTTTAACAATGGCCACGACAGGGGGTTTAACCATGGCCACGATATGGGGTTTAACCATGGCCACGATAGGGGGTTTAACCATGGCCACGATAGGTGGTTTAACAGGGACCTTTAGTGGGTTTAACAATGGCCACGATAGGGGGTTTAACCATGGCCACGATAGGGGGTTTAACAGGGACCTTTAGTGGGTTTAACAATGGCCACGATAGGGGGTTTAACCATGGCCACGATAGGGGGTTTAACCATTGCCACGATAGGGGGTTTAACCATGGCCACGATAGGGGGTTTAACCATGGCCACGATAGGGGGTTTAACCATGGCCACGATAGGTGGTTTAACAGGGACCTTTAGTGGGTTTAACAATGGCCACGATAGTGGGTTTAACCAAGGCCACGATAGGTGGTTTAACAGGGACCTTTAGTGGGTTTAACAATGGCCACGATAGTGGGTTTAACAATGGCCACGATAGGGGGTTTAACCATGGCCACGATAGGGGGTTTAACAGGGACCTTTAGTGGGTTTAACCATGGCCACGATAGGGGGTTTAACCATGGCCACGATAGGTGGTTTAACAATGGCCACCATAGTGGGTTTAACCATGGCCACGATAGGTGGTTTAACAGGGACCTTTAGTAGGTTTAACAATGGCCACGATAGTGGGTTTAACCATGGCCACGATAGGGGGTTTAACAGGGACCTTTAGTGGGTTTAACAATGGCCACGATAGTGGGTTTAACAATGGCCACGATAGGGGGTTTAACAGGGACCTTTAGTGGGTTTAAGAAGGGCCACGATAGTGGGTTTAACAATGGCCACGATAGGTGGTTTAACAATGGCCACGATAGGGGGTTTAACCATGGCCATGATAGGGGGTTTAACCATGGCTACGATAGGTGGTTTAGCAGGGACCTTTAGTGGGTTTAACAATGGCCACGATAGTGGGCTTAACCATGGCCACGATAGAGGTTTAACAGGTACCTTTAGTAGGTTTAACAATGGCCACGATAGTGGGTTTAACCATGGCCACGATAGGTGGTTTAACAGGGACCTTTAGTGGATTTAACAATTGCCACGATAGTGGGTTTAACAATGGCCACGATAGGGGGTTTAACCATGGCCATGATAGGGGGTTTAACCATGGCCACGATAGGGGGTTTAACCATGGCCACGATAGGGGGTTTAACCATTGCCACGATAGGGGGTTTAACCATGGCCACGATAGGGGGTTTAACCATGGCCACGATAGTGGGTTTAACCAAGGCCACGATAGGTGGTTTAACAGGGACCTTTAGTGGGTTTAACAATGGCCACGATAGTGGGTTTAACAATGGCCACGATAGGGGGTTTAACAGGGACCTTTAGTGGGTTTAAGAAGGGCCACGATAGTGGGTTTAACCATGGCCACGATAGAGGTTTAACAGGTACCTTTAGTAGGTTTAACAATGGCCACGATAGGGGGTTTAACCATGGCCACGATAGGGGGTTTAACCATGGCCACGATAGGGGGTTTAACCATGGCCACGATAGGGGGTTTAACCATGGCCACGATAGGGGGTTTAACCATGGCCACGATAGGGGGTTTAACCATGGCCACGATAGGGGGTTTAACCATGGCCACGATAGGTGGTTTAACAGGGACCTTTAGTGGGTTTAACAATGGCCACGATAGTGGGTTTAACCAAGGCCACGATAGGTGGTTTAACAGGGACCTTTAGTGGGTTTAACAATGGCCACGATAGTGGGTTTAACAATGGCCACGATAGGGGGTTTAACCATGGCCACGATAGGGGGTTTAACCATGGCCACGATAGGGGGTTTAACCATGGCCACGATAGGGGGTTTAACCATGGCCACGATAGGGGGTTTAACCATGGCCACGATAGTGGGTTTAACCATGGCCACGATAGGTGGTTTAACAGGGACCTTTAGTGGGTTTAACAATGGCAACGATAGTGGGTTTAACCAAGGCCACGATAGGTGGTTTAACAGGGACCTTTAGTAGGTTTAACAATGGCCACGATAGTGGGTTTAACCATGGCCACGATAGGGGGTTTAACAGGGACCTTTAGTGGGTTTAACAATGGCCACGATAGTGGGTTTAACAATGGCCACGATAGGGGGTTTAACAGGGACCTTTAGTGGGTTTAAGAAGGGCCACGATAGTGGGTTTAACAATGGCCACGATAGGTGGTTTAACAATGGCCATGATAGGGGGTTTAACCATGGCTACGATAGGTGGTTTAGCAGGGACCTTTAGTGGGTTTAACAATGGCCACGATAGTGGGCTTAACCATGGCCACGATAGAGGTTTAACAGGTACCTTTAGTAGGTTTAACAATGGCCACGATAGTGGGTTTAACCATGGCCACGATAGGTGGTTTAACAGGGACCTTTAGTGGATTTAACAATTGCCACGATAGTGGGTTTAACAATGGCCAAGATAGGGGGTTTAACCATGGCCATGATAGGGGGTTTAACCATGGCCACGATAGGGGGTTTAACCATGGCCACGATAGGGGGTTTAACCATTGCCACGATAGGGGGTTTAACCATGGCCACGATAGGGGGTTTAACCATGGCCACGATAGTGGGTTTAACCAAGGCCACGATAGGTGATTTAACAGGGACCTTTAGTGGGTTTAACAATGGCCACGATAGTGGGTTTAACAATGGCCACGATAGGGGGTTTAACAGGGACCTTTAGTCGGTTTAAGAAGGGCCACGATAGTGGGTTTAACCATGGCCACGATAGAGGTTTAACAGGTACCTTTAGTAGGTTTAACAATGGCCACGATAGGGGGTTTAACCATGGCCACGATAGGGGGTTTAACCATGGCCACGATAGGGGGTTTAACCATGGCCACGATAGGGGGTTTAACCATGGCCACGATAGGGGGTTTAACCATGGCCACGATAGGGGGTTTAACCATGGCCACGATAGGTGGTTTAACAGGGACCTTTAGTGGGTTTAACAATGGCCACGATAGTGGGTTTAACCAAGGCCACGATAGGTGGTTTAACAGGGACCTTTAGTGGGTTTAACAATGGCCACGATAGTGGGTTTAACAATGGCCACGATAGGGGGTTTAACCATGGCCACGATAGGGGGTTTAACCATGGCCACGATAGGGGGTTTAACCATGGCCACGATAGGGGGTTTAACCATGGCCACGATAGGGGGTTTAACCATGGCCACGATAGTGGGTTTAACCATGGCCACGATAGGTGGTTTAACAGGGACCTTTAGTGGGTTTAACAATGGCCACGATAGTGGGTTTAACCAAGGCCACGATAGGTGGTTTAACAGGGACCTTTAGTGGGTTTAACAATGGCCACGATAGTGGGTTTAACAATGGCCACGATAGGGGGTTTAACCATGGCCACGATAGGGGGTTTAACCATGGCCATGATAGGGGGTTTAACAGGGGCCACGATAGGGGGTTTAACCATGGCCACGATAGGGGGTTTAACCATGGCCACGATAGTGGGCTTAACAGGGGCCTGTAGTGGGTTGAACAGCGACCCAAGCCTACCTGTGGCAGCTGCCCACCCGACTGTGGGCGGGGCGGCGAGAGAGAAACGAGCCAGGTTTTCTCCCGCACGGGGACGGAGTACAATTTGTGCCCTCTTGTCTGCCCGTGTCGCAGTCAGGAACAAGAGATCTTCCAAGTCTGATAGCTTGCTGCATGTGGTGTTAGCACTGGTTGGACCTGTCATCCCACAATTCTGATAGCTTGCTGCATGTGGTGTTAGCACTGGTTGGACCCGTCATCCCACAATTCTGATAGCTTGCTGCATGTGGTGTTAGCACTGGTTGGACCTGTCATCCCACAATTCTGATAGCTTGCTGCATGTGGTGTTAGCACTGGTTCGACCCGTCAGTTCATCACCACGATCTGCAACTTCTTCCGTCACGTCAGGTATGCCTCTACCAGCATCTTGTTGATGTATAAAACTGCTGTGATGTTTGATGTATAAAACTGCTGTGATGTTTGATGTATAAAACTGCTGTGATGTTTGATGTATAAAACTGCTGTGGTGTTTGATGTATAAAACCTGATGTGATGTTTGATGTATAAAACTGCTGTGATGTTTGATGTATAAAACCTGATGTGGTGTTTGATGTATAAAACCTGTTGTGATGTTTGATGTGTGAAACTTTGTATTCGCTGAATACAAAATCTCATTGTTTTAAACAGGTACAGCGTTCACCTGATGTGTGATATCAAATCAAGTGTGGGGACAATGGAGCAAGGACGCTCGCTGGAGTCAGAAATGCGACTGTGACTCCACAGATTAGCGACTGTGACCCGACAGATTAGCGACTGTGACCCCAGAGATTAGCAACTGTGACTCCAGAGATTAGCGACTGTGACCCCAGAGATTAGCGACTGTGACCCCACAGATTAGCGACTGTGACCCGACAGATTAGCGACTGTGACCCCAGAGATTAGCAACTGTGACTCCAGAGATTAGCGACTGTGACCCCAGAGATTAGCAACTGTGACTCCAGAGATTAGCGACTGTGACCCCAGAGATTAGCAACTGTGACTCCAGAGATTAGCGACTGTGACCCCAGAGATTAGCGATGGGAGGATGCCAAGATAAACTGAGCTACACGTGTACTCAGGAGGCCAGCACCGCCCAGCCATGAGGCCATCTTTAGCTCTTCTCCTCCTGGCCCGTCTCGTCGTGGCCATCTCCCAGGACCTGCCGTCACGTAACTATGACAACCAGATTTCTGGACGAGTTCGACCCACCCAAGTGATCTTAGCCAATAGGTACTCGCCAGCAGCACTGACCAACTCACGTGACACCACGTCACGCATCACCGCCTCACATCAGCAAGAGTTCCACCCTACTGGGGCCATTAGGTCCCTCGTGCATGGCCCATCTCAGCATGGCCCATCTCAGCATGGCCCAGCTCTTAACAGATTTCAGATTTCAATACCAGAGGAGCAGACAGCTGAAGACAGTGACGACCAGACACTGGATTATGACGCTCTGAAAGACTTTGGAGAAAACTCCAAAAAGTCCAAACGTGCGAGGACGAGGCAAACAGCCCGTGCAGACAGTCGTGCAGACAGCCGTGCAGACAGCCGTGCAGACAGCCGTGCAGACAGCCGTGCAGACAGCCCACTGCTGCACGAAGCCGTGCGCCTGCTGCTGGGGTTTCAAGATGCCCCGCCACTTGACAAGAGTCGCCGACTGGCGTCCAAAGGGAGGTTACCCCAGTATGTCAAGGACTTATATGACAGGTTCCAATCAGGGGAGATCACCGCAGTCAACGGTAACACGGTACGCAGTCTTCCTACCAAAATAGGTGAGTCATCGCTGTTCTATTTACTAAACTTGCATCTGCTCTCATCTACCCAACCTATCTTCTATTGACGTCTTCTCTCTACCCAACCTATCTTCTATTGACGTCTTCTCTCTACCCAACCTATCTTCTATTGACGTCTCCTCTTATCTAACCAACCTATCTTCTATTGACGTCTCCTCTCTACCCAACCTATCTTCTATTGACTCCAGTCATCTCTCTTTGATTTTGTAGAGCGGTCTCTTTTTTTTTATTATTCTCCAGTTGTCTCCCTTTGACATAGAGTTGAGTTGTCTTTCTTTGATTGACTCAGGGGCGGAACTACCGTACCACCAGACCCCGCAACTCTGGTTTGGTTTAATTTTCTCGCATTTTTGCCTTGATATATGGATTGTAAAAGATTATCTTTATCTTTATTCTACAGTCTACCACGCTCCTCCACAAACAATTCAAACCACTACACAAACTTTAGTGTAAGACACGGGTTCCCAAAGGGCTTTCTGGGGGGTCGCCAACTGGCAGACTAAACATTAGCAAAGAAAAAAAACGTAAATATTTAGAAGAATATCTTAAATTCGGCTTCACTGGAAATGGTATAGAGTGCCAAGTTGTCCTCAGTCATATGAGTCTATGAAATCTTCAAAACTAAAACGTCATTTTAGACGCGTCATCCGGAACACACCAAAACAGATATGGATTTTTTTCGTCGGCTAGTTGCAAAAGTGAGAACCTTGATCGAACAGGAAGTTTTCACCCCGGAAACACAGCATATAAAGTCGCATTTGAAATTGCCGGGCAAAACAAAAATCATCACACAGTAGAAGAAAATCTCAGGAAACACTGCATGTTGAAGATGGTGAAATAAATTCTTTGGAATTTCAGTGCATTAAAGATGCAACCAATATCTTTGTCTAATAATACTCTTCAGCGGCTTCTAGCAGACATGTCCATAGATGTTAAGCTTTCACCATTGTTTGCTTTTCAAGTTGATTAATCAACAGACGTGAGTTCGTGTTAGTAGTTGCTTGTCTATATGAAATATATTTATTCAGATGATAGCAATGAATAGTTGCTATTTTGTGAAGATAGCACGGAGAAAATAAATACGTTTTTTTTTTAAAACTGGATGATTATCATGGGAAAACGGCTGTGGGCTTTGTACGGATGGTGCGCCATCTATGTTTGGGTCCAATCGGGCTTTCAGAAAAACTAAAAGATTTAGCTCCCTAATCAAGGGGAACCAATTGCATGATTCTCCGGTATGCCCTCGCCAGCAAGACTCTTCCGACTCCATTGCAGATAAAGGTCGTAAATTATATTAAATCTGGGGCCCTAAACACCCGTCTGTTTAAAGAACTGTGCAAAGACGACATGAATAAAGTTCACAAGGTTCTGCTTTTCTACACTACGGTACGCTGGCTGTCAAAAGGAAATGATGTGAATCGTGTTTTTTAATTGAAAGATGAAATCAAGTTGTTTGACCGTTTGATATACTTTAACGACAAGGAGAGGTTGGAGAGAGTATCACACAATTTTTTGGTGTAGTATGCACCATTCATACCCAAACGTGAAGTTGATTGCCTTTCTAGTTTTAGTTCCAATAAAAAAACAAAACAAAGAAATAAGTTATATGTTGAGAATGACATAAGGTTGTCGTTAAAAAACTCAACCGCGAATGTTGTGCCTAGTTAATATCATGTAATTACACTCATCGTATTAAACAGTTATCAAGAATAATTGATTTTGGATATCTACTAAAAATCTTACTTTAGTGTTTATTAATTTCCTTACAAATTTCAACTATGGGGGTCACTTACTTTTTATAAAAGGGGATCGCCACTCGAAAAAGTTTGGGAACCACTGGTGTAAGAGATAGGAAAAACTTTCAATTTGAATGACCTCCTTGACTTGTTGCTCCCCTTTGATAACCAACTATTGGGCAGGTAAGAGGTTCACACATTAGACATGTTCGGCCGGACCTCGATAGTGTGCGGGGCAGAGAGGGGGCAGTTCTCTCTTCTACAATCAAACACGCTGTCGCCGGCTAAATTCTTTGGGGGGGGGGGACATCTAGTGGGCTCTATAAATAGAATATAGTACCAGTAACTTCAGTTTTATATACGTTTATTTCTTCTTTCTTTTACAAGAAATGTAATATTAAACCGGTATAGTTTCATTTATTTCCCTTGAATAAGTTTATTATAGGCGTTGGGGAAAAAGGTTGCGACCATCCCAAATTCGTCACTATTGAAGTACATCAGTTGTCCCTTTCAAGTTTCTTTCCTATAGTAAAATAAACCGGTAGTGATCTCCCCTAAACTTTCTCGAATATTCTTATATAAAACAACAGGGGATGGTAACTGGGGATATAGTTATGATCTTTAATCCATTTTAAATACTGAAACTTTAAAAAATAGAATAGAATCTCAGTAAAAAACAATTGCGCACCAAGCGAACGCCTAATAAAGGTGTGTATAATAGTGCGCAATAGTATTAGTACTTTATAAATTTACATTAGTTTTTTGAGAAATCGGAAGTAGCGTAAAGTACTACTTCCGGTCAACGGAAATTACTCAAAATTTAACAGAAGGTAGAGAATCAGATCTTTTACTTACATGTGAAATTTCATTTATCTATCTGAAATAGTACTCAAGTTATAGGCTTTTGAAAAATTCAAAGTAGAAAAAGTACCACTTCCGGTTATCCGAAATCGCTCAAAAGTTGATACGGATCTACGATTTTGATATAATACTTGTATATGAAATTTCATCAACCTAGCTGCAACGGTACTCAAGTTATCGTGTTTACACACGGACACACACACACACACACGGACACACAGACATACGGACAAGATTGCAAAATTATGTTTTTCCGTATCAGTGAGATGTAAAACGTCGAGATTTGCAAAAATCTCGATTTTTTTTTTTTGCACGATTACAAGACTTTCTCTATACTTCGTATATACGAGAAAGTAAAAATGTTATTCATTGGTTAATGAATTCACTGAACACTTGTAATTTATAGTCGATTACTAATACTAAATTTATAGTCGATTACTAAATGACGACATGTAGGGGGGGTCTGGTTTTTTGTAAGTCGTTAAAAAGGCGTGACGTCGTTTGTGAATGGCACCTAACTCAATAGGTTATCCGACGCGTGAGTTGGCCACATACAGTTGTACATGTGAAAAACATGTTAACACGTTTTTCTTAACTCAGCTTCGCGTTTGTTTGTTTGGTTGTTTGGATGTTTGTTGTTAAAATTGACATCGAAAATTAGCCCACTTCTGATTGCTCTATAGATCTGAAATTTGGCATGCAGGCTACTTTTGCCTAACAATTTCAGATGCAATCATAAAAACAAGCAATTAGAGACCGTAATTAGCTTAATTTAATTACGCCCCAAGGACCATAAAATTGAGGACATGATTTCTAAAGATACCGACAAGACTGAAGGCCTATTGACACAGTTACTTCGGCCCCAATCGATGTGAGCGCGCTGGCCGTGATCGTATAGTGGTTAGTACTTCGCGTTGTGGCCGCGACAACCCAGGTTCGAATCCTGGTCGCTCAAGATTTTTAGTCCGTGTATTTATAAACACTTAGTCAAGTCATACTTAATCAAGTCATTGGATAAAGTAGAAAATAAACTATATAAAAAACTTTTTTTAAAAACCACGTTTTTCATGTGTAGCAACGGACTAAAAAGGAGAAAATAAAATACTTAAAAAAAACTTTTAAAAAAAAACACGTTTTTCTTGTGGACTAAAAAGTAGAAAATAAATTTTTCTTTTGTGCTTCCTCGAGCTGTGCAGATTCTTGTAATGACTGACAAAAAACGTGGGTCGGGCAGATGGGTCGGGAAATTTGATGGTGAACGTACCCACGTTTTTTGTCAGTCATCACAAGAATCTGCACAGCTCGAGGAAGCACAAAAGAAAAATTTATTTTCTACTTTTTAGTCCACAAGAAAAACGTGGTTTTTTTTTAAAGTTTTTTTTAAGTATTTTATTTTTGTCTTTCAAGCATTACTACACCATACATCCGTTCACCATAAACAAATTTGGTCAGTTGTTGAGTGCACAAGTTTCTGTCACAGACAAAACATTTTTTAGTATGTGCGGCATCCAGAGATCCCAAGTGGCTATCTTTGTACTCGGGATCAGCTTCAGTGGCGTCGCTAGGGTCGGGTGTCACCTGGTGCGGTCCGCAGCCCCGCCCCCCCCCCCCATCGCGACGCCTCTGGTCAGCTTATTGTATGCCCTGCACAGCAGGGAGATAGAGTTAGTCCTTGAATCCACCGGTAGCTCCCAAGAGCCCCGCGACGCCCCTGACACCTAAAATTTTTTAGATGGTCAGTTTGAGCAACCGTATGCCACTATTTGATGAAATATCTGAACAAACGTATGCACCTCTGCAAACGCATATGTTTTCAATTTTCGGCATCACTGCCGTTTATAAAAGATATCGCTTACATTTTTAGCCAAATTTTTTAAATTAAAGAAATAGTGTTTGTTTTCAGTGCATTTAAAAGTTCGTTGTTATAAAGATTTTTATATTTGTTTTAATTTTCCACTTTTTGTTTTTTCCTCTACATAGGCTACGACAAAAAATATTTCCGTTAAAATCCCATTAACAGCTCGTGATCTCTAAAAGACAGTTATCTGCCCCTGTTTCGGCCGTGTTTAACGCATGAAAAAGAAATCAACCAACCGTGACACATTTTTAACCTTGTTTTCTCCTCTTAATTTTGAAACCGTTTCATTTATTTAAATGACTAATTTAACATCCCATTACATAAAAAATAGATAATCTTTCATTGTCATCAAAGAAAAAGATACCTGGAAAGTTTGAACGAAATCATTGCATTAGAAGCGGGTCAAAATGGATTTTAAAAATGTGTCACAAAGCCACAAACAAGCAAACAGACGAATGAGCTAAATAAAAGCTTGTAAAAATCTGTTTGGCGTGACCTCTTTTATTTCACTCAATGTCCTCTGG